ATTGATGATTTACTGTTATTTCGCCTTGTTTTACAGCTTTAAATGCAGTATGAGGTTTGATGTGTTTATTTTATAGTTTCGTGTGCATATATTACGTTTTTATTGGTTATGGGTTGAATGACTGAAAAACTGATACCGTATGTTGTCTGTTTGGCATGAATTACGATTTGCTTGTTTAAAATGTGAATTGATAATGCTTACTGAGGAAGAGAAAAATGAAAGATTGTGTAGACTGATAATTGTATGATGGGGTCAGCGTGACTAGATATCTTGGGAGATGGTGGACGGACCGGGTCCGTAGGGAACCCTACCGGGATTGTGGTCTCACATGCCGGACAGGGTATGGAGATCTTATGTGTTTTGGCGCCCATACCGGACGGGGTATGGGGACGACCCGTTTCACCCTCATACCGAACGGGGTATTGAAGTTTATGGTTTTGGCGCCCATACCGGACGGGGTATGGGGACGGCCCGTTTCACCCTCATACCGGACGTGGTATTGAGGTTTATGGTTTTGGCGCCCATACCGGACGGGGTATGGGGACGGCCCTGGAAACTGATTATGAATGTTAAAGGTTAACGGGTAGCGGGACCCCTATGGACCCCCATGTATACTAGTAGGCTGGTAAATGAGAAAAGGATATGTTGTATAATGATTGAATTACAAAAGGCGTGATAAGTGCTATGTTTTACAGCTTATATTATTCCATGATTGTGATAATGTTATTGTTTTTCTTATATTGTTTCATGAATTCCACCAAGGTAAGTGGATGGTAAAGGTTTTATCATAAATAAAAGGATTTGTTGTAAATCATGCTCCATTGGTCTTTTGTGTTTTTCTACCCACCTTTACCTCCGTGACGGTGAGATATCGTGATGTTCTTACTGGGCTAGTGTAGCTCACTCCTTATTTAACCATTTCAGATCAGGAAGACATGGTTCCCGAGCCCGTTCCGCAGGAGGACGACGAAAGGGGATGCCTAGAGACTCTGTAGTCATACTCATAGTTTTATTTTCGAGTTTCTCTTTTAGTTAGTTTAATCTTTTATATTTTAAGTACGTTTTTGGTTTTCGTGTAAGGATGTTAACTGAAATTTTGATCTCGCTTCCGCATTTTATGTGTTTAAATACTCATTTCATTTAACATTCCAGGGCCGTTACAAAGGTTATTT